ACGCACGTACGCAAGTATGATCACACCGCCCACGCCCACCATTACAATTTTCTTAATCCCTTCTCGACAAGAGGTGGTTATTCTAGCTTTTCAGCACCACCAGGATATAATGTGATCGAAGTTTATCCATTCAACAACCCACTTCGCATCACATTTTGGACTCCCTCAGAGTCCATTAAAACGCTCCTGTCACGTATACCTCTGCAAAACCGCTCGTGGGGAGTGGCGGCATCGAGGTCACTGCCTGGCCAGGCTTGAAGGGAAATTTTATTAAATCTGACACCTAAACTAAAACGTCAGATTTATAATCTTAAAAAAGTTTTTATTTCGCATGGTCTTAGTATTCATTACTCGGATGATGCACTTTACTGTTGTGCCATAAAAATTTTAATAAAAAAAAATACTATGTAAATTAATTTAATAAATGTAACACGATCGGCATATATATTATTTTTTTAACACATTACCAAAAACTTCTCTAATGTTGTATATTAACAAAAGATTTTTTTTACAAAATAAATTTTTTTGATACATTATTATTAATTACACAACTATTATTGGCTTACCAAAAATGGTATCTACTCCTCAGGGGTGATCAATTTAAAAAAATTTAGAAGTCCGTTGCAGCCAGATTTTTTATTTTAAACTTAATATAAGGGTTTAAAGTTTCACTATTTTGTAATATTTTATAATTTTCAAAATTTGCCGCTGTTTGAAATGCCAAATCGCACAAAAAAAAAATAAAATCACTTCTTTCAAACTTACAAAAAGTTAATGAAGCCCGTCGTTGATTCAACCGCAATCAGCAAATCTTTGAATTAAAGCTCTATCTAGATAATACAAAAACATTAAATTTATATGCATAATTATAAGAACCTGAGCTATCAAATAATATAAATTTCATATAGTTATTATAAAGGTTTTGTGGAATTTTCGAAAAACTGCGTTTGAATACTTTCTTCGTATATAAATGTGATTTATTATGATAATTTTCTTAAATTTTATTGGCTAAAATTTGTACACGTGATAAATTTTAAAACTCAAATTTTGCCGCCCCTCTTGTATCACCTTTGATGGCTTTTGCTGTCGCCCACTTTACAAATTTTAACATTATATAAAATTCGTTTTTTGTATTTATAGTACTTTGTTAATTAAAAAAAACGAAATACTTTTTTTTTTTTGAAAAGATCTTCAAAAAAAAAACTAATATCTAGTGGGCCACCCATTATTAGAAATGCACGGCTCAATTCTTCTTGACATGCTTTCAATGAGTTTTTCTAAAGCTTCGTAAGATATTTTTAACCATCTTCTTTCACTGCAACTTCAATTTTTAAAATTTTTGCCGATCACAATTTAGATCTAGGAAAAAAATAACGAAAGGAATAAAATCTAGATGTGTTAAAATATTGAAAATCATATTAATATGTTTTTTTTTATTTATTAATAAAGTACTAGAGATACAAAAAACATCAAATTTTATACGAAAACGAACAAAAACCTAAGCTATCTAATGTTAAAATTTTATGTATTTCTATTATGTAGAATTTTACGTAATTAACGAAAAACATCGTTCATAAACTTTTGGTCAGGGTAGTATATATGGAATTAATAAGGTTCATAATGTAATGGTTAATAAATTTTTTTAAAAAATTCCATAAAGCCTTACTTAAATCACAAGTAATTTCTTTAATTCATAAAATTGCTTTTTAAATAATTTATTTCATTAATAAATTTATTATTATTATTATTGTTATTATTATTATATACATTATTTTGGATCGGGTCAGATCAATATTTAAAGAACCAGGTCAGATCAGATACAAATAAATTTAATCAAGGAAATGAAATCACGCAGAACTTTCTGCACCACAATGCCAATTGAGAGTTATTAACATACAATAAATGAGCCATTTAGACAAATCATGCGAAGAAGCAATAAGTGATATGATAAAGATGTTTGTGAAGATCGTAAAATGTACACTGATTATGAAATTGTTTTAATAACGATGCGTTAACGTGTATAGTAAATTTGCACATCAATAAAATGACCGCTACTATATACAATTTTGCATTTCCATATTAAAAGATCTACAAGATCAATAAAAAGTTCTGTATAAATAAATTAAGTAAATAATTAAATTAAAAATTTTAACCAGAACTGGCTTGGTATATTGAAAAATAATCATTTGATAGGTATATACAATAATTGTTGGACCTCCTACTTGGAATTTGGTAGTACATGTATTTCCTATAATAGAAGAATTAAAATTGGATCTAGATTATTTGTTTGGGTACATTAAAATTAAATAACGTGTGAATCAGTGTTGAAATTTCGTTGTGTAACCAGTACAAATTTAGAAACTATCTCCAAAAATTAAAAGGTTGATTGGTGTGTAATGTTACACCTCCGCATTCCCCGCACCGAATTTTCAACACTGGTGTGAATTTTAAATATAAATGAAATCTTTATTTAGACAGTTGTGTTACATCAACATTATATTTTTTATGTAATAAACAATGGTAATAATTTAGACTTTTTTGATGTATATTTATACAATTTTTAAATTAATAAAAAAATTACGTCGTTAAAAAAAAATATATCAATTGTTATTACATCATCTCTACTTTTTGATAATTATGTTTCAATCAACATGTGAATTGACAACGAAAATTTTTGTTTTGAACATTGTTACTATGTTTTTATATATAGTAGTTAATGTGTAAATTGAATATTGATAAAATCTAGACAATTGTTGTTATAATATGCTTGTTATATATATATATATATATATTTATATATATTGTAGTAGCATGTCAATTAACGTGTGAATTGAACATCAATGAATCTTTGTTGTTATAATATATTTTTTTTATGTAATAGAATATCAGTGAAATCTAAACAGTTGTTGTTATAATACATTTGTTATAGCATGTCAATAAACGTGTGAACAGAGTACAAATGTAATGATAGTATGTCAATAAACGTGTAAATTGAATCTTTATTTAGACAGTTGTTGTTATAATATGTTTTTTTATGTAATAGTAGTGTTAATTCAATTGAATCATCTATTTTTTTTCGACAATTCTTTATGTAAATCCGATTGTTCAAAAGAATACTTTTATTTACAATTGACAATTTATTAAAGACTTGATGAAAAAAAATTTTTTTTAAAACATATAAATACCAGTGTCTTTTTCTTTATCCACAAACTATAACTACTACTACCACACACACACACACGCACACACACACACACGCACACACACGCACACACACACACACACGCACACGCACACACACACACACGCACACGCACACGCACACACACACACACAACAAGAAGAATAATGGCTGGAACCAGGTAATCAATCAATTAACAAACATTGCGAACGAACACTTACAAAATCCAAAAATATTATATTTTATTGATTATAATTACTATCGCCGACTAATTATTTTCTTATCATTTAATATACATGTAACAGAGAAGCTCCTATTGTTGTAGATACGCCCTCCCCATCACCATCACCACCGTCATCACCACAACATCATCACACTCCTCCTCCTCCTCCTCGTCATCACACTCCTCCTCCTCCTCGTCACCATCACCACTCTCGCCAACATCACCACCACTCTCCTTCACTTCCACCTCGTCACCGTCACCATCACTCTCGTCACCACTCTCCCCCTCCTCGTCACCACTCTCCTCCCCCTCCTCGTCACCACTCTCGTCGCCCTCCTCCTCCTACCTACACTCATTTAACACCAACCCCTCGCCAACGTATTCTTCCTCCTCAATTCCCTTTGATCCCTCGGCCTGAATGGCGATTTCCAACAGGTATCCCAGGAAGGTCGTGGGAGACGAGGGAATTGGCGAGGTTGAATAGGTTGGCGAGGGAGGAGCACTGGAGGGCTTACTCACGACAACAATTATTATTAGGAGTTGAGTTGAGTCCACCACCACCCGACATCCTCCACCACCAACAACAACAACGCCGCCGCCAACAACGCCTCCGCCGCCGCCGCCTCCGCCAACAACTACAACAATAGGAGCTATAAAAAAAAAAAAAATAATAATAATAATAGTAGTAGTAGTAATAACAATTTATTTTTTATTTTTTTTTTCTTAATTTTTAATTGTTTTTTTATTTTTTTTATTTTTATTTTTATTTTTTTTTTAATTTTTAATTTTTAATTTTTAATTTTAATAAATAAAAAAATATTTGCTTTTATCCGAAATGTGATTTATAAATTTACTATCGTAACCATTTCTTAAATAATAATAGCCATATATTAGTTAATTACTATCACATCAAGATAACAATAACATGAATTTTATTAAAAGCGACTTGATTTATACCATTTCAAGGAATATCTTGCCACTTTCAAGTTTTGTTAGTGTTGTGTGAGAGAGAAGGGATCTTATTTACTTTTTAACATCAAAAATAATTCAAGTTGAAACTCGTTAGAGGAAAAGGCCTTTTACTTTCTTATATAGCAATTTAACCCTATTATTAACACTTTACAGATAGTTTTTTTTACAACAACTATCATCACAATATGATTGTTAGTAGAATATGGATATCTTATTTCAACAACGCCTCAAATGTTGCTGATATCGTTGGCTCTAAAGTTGAACTACTGTTTGCATTATATTAATTCCTTTTTTGTAGAAAGGTTAATCTGAACCTATGGAATGCACACGCTACGCAACACATAGTATGTAATGCTTAGGACGCGTAATAGATCTTTGAACTTTATTAATTTACATTCTGGATTCTTTACTGAGAAACCTATAAATTCTCCAAGGAAAACTAGAGTCACTTTACTACCGAGACGATAAAGGAGATTTAACACTTAAACTTAACATGTTGGATTTAATGCTAATTTTTTGGAAATGATGTTTAAGGAGCTCTTTGTTACAATTGAAGTGGATGTTTTCTATTACGCTAGATTTCAAGGTTCGTTTATTTTTATCAATTTGGTTTCTAAAGTTAATTTCACATGGTCTTACTTGGCGATCCAAATTAGTGAACAAAAGGAGAACAAGTTAAAAGTGGCTTGTGATTGGGACGAAGAATCTCTAAATCATTATGACACGAACGTCAATTTTACTGCATCAGTGAGACAACGTAATATGGTTCCATAGTGGAAAAAGGTAACGTTGCTGCATCAGGAAACAAGAATACGTTATGTCGCTAAATAATATAGGATTCTCTATAAGTATAAATTACACAATTCAATAACATTACATTTGATCTATTTTTCTATTAGATTTATTGTGGATAATAATATAATAAACAATGCATTATTCTGTGATATCTGAGATAACTTTGAGTATAGGACTGATCATGTGTCAAATATCAAAACAAAGTAAGGGCTATAATAATTTTTTGATAGATGAAGCATTTTCAATACATGTTCTGTTGGGCTAGTCGTTTTAAATTGAAATCCATACTTTAGAAATGTAAAAAATTTTATCCAAAGCTTTTGGTGGAAGAATAAAGTTTATATATATATATATGAGATCTCAAAGCATTGACGATTAAGATATTTGTTAAAAAAAAAAACTCCACGTTATTTGATTTTTCTACATATTATAAAAGGGTATAAACGGCAATTAAAATATCTGTTGATTGGATTGGAATTGGACTGGATTTTTGGGGGAGAGTGAGAGCAAGATTGATTGCAAACATTGTAGTGAGTAATTTTCATTGTATTGACCACAATTAATCACATCAAAATTAATTGATTAATAATACTTTCTCTTTCTTTAAGTTTATTTATTAATCTGCGCTAGAACTAAGGTGATCAAGGAAATGTCTCCATGATGAACTTTCTGGACCACGATGCCAATTACGATGTCTTCATTTTTCAAATTTTGTTTTGATAGTGGTGTTGATCGTGATGAGGTGTTGTCGAAAAGTATTATCCTCTGGACGCTGAAAAATAAAACGTGCCTCTTTTTGCAGTTGTTGTGCAATGAAAAATTTAGCCGTACGTCGTATAATGCAGTGAATGATTTCTACAAGACTATCACTTAAAGAGGCGAGATAATTAGTAACCATATCAATCATTGGATGATTTGACTCCATCCAATAAGAGATATCAAGATTTGTGATAAATCGGTCATTGAGATGTTTCATAATCAACTCATCATCAAAGATTTTTGGATTCAATGCACCATTACGTGGTATTGTTGACATGTTGGGACATAGATTTGTTACAATAGTAGCCATATGCACCACTCAAGATGTAGTGATAGTATCAGGTTGACTCTGGATGTGAATGTCAACATTCAACATGATGCATTTTTTGAATATTTTGTAAGTGCATTCTCATGTTCATGAAGATATTTATTGTGTCGGTAATGATAATGATGGGTTGACTTGAATATAAACACCAATTTTGAGTTAACATAGGTCTTGGTTCCTCGATGGTGTTAATATGACAAAGGATCTATATATACGATACCAATAAAGTTTAGTCAGTGACTAGGCTACTTCATATAGGTGAATAATAATTAATTAATTAAATTTAAAAATAATCATTTGGTAATTAAAATTAATTAATACTAACCGTTATTAAATTTTTAATCAGTGTGAAATAGGGTTAGTAGTACAAAAGAGACTGGTAGCCATTTTCCTAACGATTCATTTCATTAACTAAACTGTCTTAAATAACAGCATAGCCGGCTAATAAATAGTTTAACAGATTAATGCTAATAAATGACTTGGTAATAACAGATTAGCTGGCTAATCGGTTAACATCATCATCAGATATACGTTATTTCTTGATAATAAATATGGACATGGCAGGAAAACAAAAAAAATATATTATGGTAGTACAAAAATAATAATTTTGGGTCCCCTATATTCTCCTATTTGGAAGTTGATTTTAGAATGATTAAAATTGCAACCAGAACTGGGTAGATAATTTGATTGGTACATTCACTTTAGTTTTTCTTTTTATGAAATAATAATGGTGAATAACGTGTGAGTCGTGCATTGTAAATAATCAAGATTTTTTTAAATAAAATGATATAATAAGGTTACTGGCAGGAAAACAAAAAAAATATATTATGGTAGTACAAAAATAATAATTTTGGGTCCCCTATATTCTCCTATTTGGAAGTTGATTTTAGAATGATTAAAATTGCAACCAGAACTGGGTAGATAATTTGATTGGTACATTCACTTTAGTTTTTCTTTTTATGAAATAATAATGGTGAATAACGTGTGAGTCGTGCATTGTAAATAATCAAGATTTTTTTAAATAAAATGATATAATAAGGTTACGTCGCTTAAATAAAAAAAGATGATGTCGGTTTTTCATCATTTTTTTTTTTCATCAACAAACCAACATGTGAATTGAATATTAATGAAATCATTTATTTTTTTAAAAAAATCTAAAAATCTTGTATAAATACTAGCGTCTTTTGCTTCACACACACAAAAAAATTAATATTCACAATGAAATACCACAGTCTTTTTCTTCATACATACTACAAATACAAATAAAGACACTAATAATAAAAACATTAATTGCAATAATAAAAATATTGATGGTGAAAATAATGATGAAAAGCTCTAGGTAATCAATCAAATAACACTTTACAAAACCAAAATATTATATTTTATTACAATTTCCAATTAATTAATTTGTTCTTATTCTTTTTAATATATGTGCAGTAGACACTCCTTCACATTTATTTTCTCCTCAACATTAAAATTAACATCATCAGTATCGTCAACATCAATTCTCGCTCTTCCTCTCATCATCATCATCATCATCATCATCATCATCATCCTTCCTCCTCTTCATCGTTGTCACCAACATCACTGTAATCCTCCTACACACACACACACACACACACCTTTAGTTAGGTGTATTATAAGGAGAAATATATATGTTTAGGTTGGAGCATTGCTTTAATCTAAAGGTCAAACTAAAGGAGTGTGAGCAGCAATGAAAGGATTATCGCCAACAACAACAACTAACCCGGAAAATCCTCTCCAACACAACCAAAGAGAAGTGAAAGAACAACAATAATGATGATGATGGCACCTGGAACAAGGTAATCAATCAATTAACAAACATTGCGAACTAACGCTTACAAAACCCAAAATATTATATTTTATTGATTATAATTACTATTGCCGACTAATTATTCTCTTATTATTTTTAATATACATGTAGCAAAAACGCGCCTGTTGTTGTTGATACGCCATCCCCATCACCATCACCACCGTCATCACATCAACATCAACATCACACTATTTCTCGCCATCATCACCACCACTCTCGTCACCACTCTCCTTCTCCTCCCGCTCGTCACTGTTACCACTAAAGACTAGTGCCGTAAATTATGGCGATGGTACTAATTGTATTTACGGCATATAAAAGTGGTCACAATTACCTTTGCGACCACTTTTGCAACCACACTTTTTCCTTTTTTGGATTACGGCACTAGTCTTTAGTCACTACCACTCTCGTCATCACTTTTCCCCTCTACTCCTCGTCGCCCTCCTCCTCCTACTCACACTCATTTAACACCCACCCCTCGCCAACATCCTCTCCTTCCACAATTCCCTCTGATCCCTCGGCCTGAATGGCGATTTCCAACACAGATCCCATACAGGTCGAGAGAGACGAGAGAATTGGCGAGGGAGAAGCACTGGAGGGCCTACTCCCAACAACAACAATTATTAGGAGTAGAGTTAAGTCCATCACCATCCGACATCCTCCACCGCCAACGCCTCCGCCACCAACAACAACAATAGGGGCTATAATAAATAAAAAAATAATAAATAATAATAATAGTAGTAGTAGTAGTAGTAGTAGTAATAGTAAAAATTTTAATTTTTTTTAATTTTTTAATTTTTTAATTTAATAAATAAAAAATTTATATAATGTTAATTTTTTTTTTAATTTTTTTAATTTTTTTAATTTGGGACCTGAATTTTAATTTTTAATAAATAATATATATATAATTTCATCTGAAATGTGATTTATAAATTTACTATTGTAACCATTTCTTAAATAATAATAGTCATATATTAGTTAATTACTATCATATCAAGATAACAATAACATGAATTTTATTAAAAACGACTTGATTTATACCATTTCAAGGAATATCTTCTCACTTTCAAGTTTTGTTAGTGATGTGTGAGAGAGAAGAGATCTTATTTACTTTTTAACATCAAAAATGATTAAAATTGAAACTCGTTAGAGGAAAAGGCCTTTTACTTTCTTATATAGCAATTTAACCCTATTATTAACACTTTACAGATAGTTTTTTTTACAAAAACTACCATCACATATGATTGTTAGTAGAATATGGATATCTTATTTCAACAACGCCTCAAATGTTGCTGATATCGTTGGCTCTAAAGCTGAACTACTGTTTGCATTATATTAATTTCTTTTTTGTAGAAAGGTTAATCTGAACCTATGAAATGCACACGCTACGCAACACATAGTATGTAATGTTTAGGACGCGTAATAGATCTCTGAACTTTATTAAATTACATTCTGGATTCTTTATTGAGGAATCTGTAAATGTTCCAAGGACAACTAGAGTCTCTTTACTACCGAGGCGGTAAAGGAGATTTAACACTTAAACTTAATATGTTAGATTTAATGCTAATTTTTTGGAAATGATGTTTAAGGAGCTCTTTGTTACAATTGAAGTGGATGTTTTCTATTGCGCTAGATTTCAAAGCTCGTTGATTTTTATCAATTTGGTTTCCAAAGTTAATTTCACATGGTCTTACTTGGCGATCCAATTTAGTGAACAAAAGGAGAGCAAGTTAAAAGTGGTTTGTGATTGGGACGAAGAATCTCTAAATCATTATGACATGAACGTCAATTTTACTGCATCAGTGAGACAACGTAATATGGTTCCATAGTGGAAAAAGGTAACGTTGCTGTATCAGGAAACAAGAGTACGTTATAATATTTTGTATAGTAGTAAGTAACCTTCGCTACTAATGAAAACCATTTTGCAGATCAGAAGTGGGTATGAAACAGTTTTCACTGTCGCTAAATAAGACAATAATATAGGATTATCTATAAGTATAAATTACACAATTCAATAACATTACATTTGATCTATTTTTCTATTAGATTTATTGTGGATTAATAATATAATAAACAATGCATTATTCTGTGATGTCTGAGATGACTTTGAGTATAGGACTGATCATGTGTCAAATATCAAAACAAAGTAAGGGCTATAATAATTTTTTGATAGATGAAGCATTTTCAAAACATGTTCTGTTGGGCTAGTCGTTTTAAATTGAAATCCATACTTTAGAATTGTAATAAATTTATCCAAAACTTTTTGATGGAGAATAAAATCTTTACATATATATATATATATATACGAGATCTCAAAGCATTGACGATTAAGATATTTGTTAAAAAAAAAACTCCACATTATTTAATTCTTCTACATATTATAAACGGCAATGAAAAATATCTGTTGATATATGATAATTAGATTGGAATTGGACTGGATTTTTGGGGAGAGTGAGAGCAAGATTGATTGCAAACATTGTAGTGAGCAATCTTCATTATATTGACCACATCAAAAATTATTTGATTAATAATACTTTCTCTTTCTTTAAGTTTATTTATTAATCTGCGCTAGAACTAAGGTGATCAAGGAAATGACACCATGATGAACTTTCTGGACCACGATGCCAATTACGATGTCTTCATTTTTCAAATTTGTTTTGATAGTGGTGTTGATCGTGATAAAGACTGTGAGGTGTTGTCGAAAAGTATTATCCTCTGGACGCTGAAAAATAAAACGTGCCTCTTTTTGCGGTTGTTGTGGAATGAAAAATTTAGCCGTACGTCGTCGAATAATGCAGTGAATGATTTCTACAGGAC